TTTACATTGAGGAACTTGTGTGCACTTAAATATTTTAAAGAAATACTAATTATATTATGTAGTGAACTTTTTGAGGAACTTGTGTGCACTTTAATATTTTAAAGAAATACTAATTATTAGAAGTCTGAACTGATGGGTAGTGTTGCAAATGTATTAACATAAAAATAATTATAACTTCATTTTGATCAATCTTCTTTTCACCTTTGTTTCACAGCAAGTTTTGCTAAGAAAGGAACCATACAAGAATACAAAGGATCAAAGATTACATTCGATTAATACCAATAATTATTAACTGCTATTTATCCATATTTAGCATTGTATTTTAGATATTMATTTTATAGCAGTCTTAGTAATCTWTCAGAATGTATGTCAAGGTCATGCACAATTGTTGACATTATACTAGGTATTTATGGTAACATCAAGGAGTTTTATGCATAACAGTGAAAAATTAAGAAAATGTCTTGAAATTTTATTTGTTTTATTCAAAATTTTGGACTGAATTAACCATTTTGTAATGACAAAATTGTACACCTTTTCAAATACTTCAGATGCTCAATCTGATCTGTATTATAGTAAGGATTATACTGTTCCTGTGATTGAAARGATTTGTTTCCAGTCTCCTCAACATTAAAGTGGCASAGGAAGCCCACAACCAGTCCACTTCCATACAAATGTCTCCATATTTGGTTTTATCATAAACATGTTGTAAATATATACATCTGTAATGGTTTAGCAGATTAGAAAGCATTTCATTTGGAAATATCTTTTCATTTCATGTTCAATTTGTATTTTTAAGACCTCAAAAAAATCATTAAAGCTTTACCTTCACTTTTTTGTCATCAGTTTTCATGTTTCTCACCCCCAAAAATATTATGTAAGATCATTAGACATCCATCTTATTGTGGTTTCAAACAGAGTTGCTAGCAAGATGAAGGGGAGTTAAAAGATTGCAGTAAATTTCATTGACCAAAAAGATTTGAAACAACCCTTGACATTTCCCTACAAAAAAGTGATAACTGTTCAAACTTTAGACTGCGTTACATCTGGTTGGATGTAACACAGGCTATGCAAACGTGTAAGTCTTGCAAGTTAAAGAAAATATTAGGGTTGACTAGCTATTTAAAATTTACAAAAGAAGGCAGTTTATATTTTATTAAATAACTACAAACTACATTTTGATCTACACTGACATACCTAACAATTTACACAATACTACAATTTTTCATAAAATTATTTTTGAGATCCCCTGTGGTGAATTTCTGTGTTACAAAGACTGGCACAGGAAGCCTAAAGGAGTTGTAGATGCAAGTTGACTATTTACACTGTCTGGGTGATTCGGCCAGCATTTTTTTGTTGTGTAGTAATTTAGCTTATTTTCCAGCTTTCTTTTTCTTGGCAGCTGCTTTGTCGGATGTGGCAGAACCTGGGTGATGTTGGGTCTTCTTTGGCTGACCTTCTCTTTTGTTGATCTAAAGACAAATCATTTCAATATGTTAACATTTTTTCATTAATTTCTCCATTCTCCTTAGATTCATCATTACCCCTTTCATAATCTTATTCTTGAGCTCTTGTTGAGTAAGTGGTCTCTGTTCGTCATCTGTTTCATCATCGGAATCATCACTATTATAATCATCGCCAGTGGTTGGAGGTACAATATTGACTGATATTGATCCAGGCTGTGGTCCCTGACCAAGAAGACCTACTGCTGCAGGAGGTTGCTCCCTATCAGACTCCTTTGTTACATTGAAACCATACACTTGAAGAAGTTCATTTGTTCTTTGTTCAATGATCCCAAGAAACTACAAGAAAATTCATAATAATTAACAATCCATGTCCTACCAACAAGAAAACCTGGGCCGGGTTGTTCAAAGCTCGATTAATGTTAATCCAGGTTTTTTAAGAGTTAACCCAGGATTAGTACTAATCGAGCTTTGAACAATTGAACAATCTGACCCAGTTGTCTACCAACTGTTCTGATGTGTTAATGGGTTAACAAAGTTTTATGAAGGTTTTTGGGTGTTTTTTTGTTTTTTTTTTATGAAGGTTTTTTTGACGTTGTAGCTCAGCTGGTAAAGCATCAGTAGTACAAATCCAAGGGTCCTGGTTTCAAATCCCAACAAGGTCAGCAATAAATTTTTCCAAATTTATTCCAAAAGGGTCTTTCTCCGAGAATAACCTCATTCATAGCACCATAACTTTCCTTTATTTCTATAAAAAGGTTAACCAATTTACCTGCATCATGTTATTGTCAGTAATTCCCTCTTTGCTGCCAAGAAGATTCTCAATTGCTGACTTATCACAGTTTATCTTGCTGAACAGGGAATCAATCCCTGACTTAAGTTGTTCTAGTATTTTATTGGTGTGCTTGTGTTGGTTGTCGTATTGTTCATGCTGTTCTGTTTCCTCGTTTAGTTGATCATCAAGGGACTTCATGATTGCTTTGCGTTGACTCTCCATTTCAACGCCTTCGCTCTTGAACTTTTCTATATCGGCATTACTCTGTAAAACAGGGTTTCGTTGATAATGTTAGAATAAGAACAAAATGGAGAATTAATAATGAAAATTACCAATGACAATGGAGGAGAAACTTTGTATGACTTAGTCTAGTAAATTTATAAGTAACAGTACAAGACAGTACTAACCTCATTTATTTGTTCTTGTATCATTTCAATCTGATTATTGAGCTCGTTCACATAGTTAAACAAAGCAAAGTTTTTGTCTTCAACTTCTATAAACTTGTTGACAAGAAGATCAATGTCTTCTATTTCTGTTGCTTCTTTGATCTTTTGGAATGCTGTTTCATAAGACTGAAGAAAAAAATCATTGTTAACTCAATATGTTTATTGAGACAAATCAATATATTGTTAAGACTACAAGTTAGATATAACTGAAAAGTTCACACTTACCACTATCGTTTCCTCAGCTTTATCCCCTTTATCTTTCTCATCTCTCTTCTTTCGTCGAGATGTCATTTCCCCTTCCATCAACTCAGCTCGTTCCTCCCCCTTAACTCTCATAAACTCTTTGAGTTTTCTCTCATGGTCAATTATGCGTTCCAACTCCATAAACTCGGTTTTGTATTGAGCAATATCCTTGTCATTCTTTTCTTTTAGGGCCAGCATCTTGGCTTGTGCTTCATCCCTGAAGAAAAAATGAAATGGGAAATGAATGAAAGAATTAAATGAATGGGAAACAAATGAGAAAAAAGAATAGATGAATGACCAGGGCTTAAGGTAATGGAACAACAGATACAGAAGTCAAGTTAATATAGCCTGTACATCTGTTTCTCAAGGCCATTCACTCCCCGATTTTTTTGGAAGGGTGAGAAACGGATGTACACAGGCTATGTTTAACTCGACTTCTGTATCTGTTGTTCCATTGCAAGTAAAATACGTCTATTCTCCTTTCAGGTTATTCACCTTGCATCATAAGCTGCTTTTGAATTGTCAATCAATTCACTTGCTTGTCGTTTATACTCCTGTTTCTTCTGCTCTAGTTTCTTGCAGCAACTCTCGTATTTATTCCTTTCTTTCCTCATGCTGTCAATTTGTTCTCTACATTGACTGTTTTCAGCCAAAGATCTGTTAAATTTCACATTTGCCTGCAAAAGAAGCAAAGTTCATAACTACCAGCAATATATAAATAATCTTTTATGTGCATGTTTGTAGTTTGCTCAGGCAAAACATCTTTCTGGGTGATTTTGGAATTTTACCTTAGGGGGAGGGGAGGGGTTTTCCTAACAGGGGAAGGGTTGGGGTTAATCTGGTTTCCACAGACTAAAAACAATTTGTAGCAAATGGTTTTTATATAGTACCTTGTCCAGCCTGTTTTCCAAGACTCTGATTGTTTTCTGAGTATGGACATGTCTTGCATGGCTCATATGTACACTGGAAATAGAATTGAATGACTTACTTATTGGAAACATAACTTCAATCTTCTATAATTTGTACACATTTGATCTTTGTGTAGTAATAATTACAGCTTTTGGTAAATGAGAAGAAAATATTAGTTATAGAATTAGAAGAATCTTCAAAAACTTGATAAAATTTGGTAAAAATCAATATTATTTCCTTACCCTCCCATGTTCTTTTTCTGTTGTCTGTTCTTCTTTTCCATTGTTTGTATCTAAACAGATCATTAAAAAAAATCATTGTTATTTCATCCTTCATGACGACTGTTCTTTTATATTAAGATGCAGACTATTAAGACGTGATATTCTGTGTTCAAACCTTGGCACTCAGGTCAGCTATTTCTTCTTTGACAGCATCAATGTCAGCTTTGTGTACATCTGAAAAAATAAAATTAGAAATGAAAAAAATGTGGATAAGATGCAAGGGCTAGCACATGCTTCTTCATGGCTGTGACCATTCCCACCTCAGTATTCCAATAAAAAAAACAAAAACAATAACAACATTAGCCTCTCTCACAGGCGTTCTTAGTCTCGCCACAAAAATTCACTAGCCTCTCTCACAGGCGTTCTTAGTCAACACGAAAATTCACTCGCCACGAACATTCGTGGCAAGTGAATTTTAGTGGCGAGACTAAGAATGCCTGTGACATAGGTTGTATAATATTCTAAGTGTACAAGATATAAAGATATACATGTAAGTAAAGATTTATTATGTCACCTAAAACAATAATATCATGATTTGTTTTTTAGAAATCAATTCAAATCTGCATGTACCTTCTTGGTCCATCATGTCATTCAAAATCTTGGTATTGGTGGAATCCTGTAGCACAATTTATTACATGTAGGTATTAATAAATAAATGAATGAATAATAGAATTAGTAAAAAACATAATTTTACTAAAAAGACCATTTCATTTATTGTAAATTTTGGATTATTGGCTTAATTTAGCAATGTGTTTGGTTAATATATCATCAGATTATAGAAACAACAACATTTCAACAGTCTTTCTTTTTCTAAAACTTCAAGGAGACTCTGCTAGGATAATAATACAGTGTATAATTCAAAAATGATGATAATAACCTTTCCAAGGTTTTGTTGACTTCCAGCCAGTCTGATATACTTCATAAGYTCATTYCTTTCTTTCTGAAGAGAGTCAATAGCACCGCGCTGCTTTCTGATAGTATTATGAGTCTCCTCGCTGTATGCCTTCCTGTCACCTTCCATTATACGATACTGGCGTTGCAGCTTGGCTAGCTCCTGCTCAGCTGTGAAATAATACAATAAATATTAATTGAAAAGTAAGGCATAAATATCTAGAGAATTATGCTAAGTAACTTGATAATTTCTTACCAATTCCATCAAGTTCAGCTTCACTTGTGTCTGAACGTCTACTTTGAGCACGTTGCATCTTTAATCTATAATTTTAAAAATATTTTTTCAATAAAACGTAAGATAAAAGGAGCTACAATACGGCACATGATCAAGAGAGACAGCCAAAAACGTCTTGCTACTCTTTTATAACGTCAAGATGTTGAGTTTGGTCCTAATATTATTAAAAATAATTGCTTATCTTCGAGAGACTTAAGAAAATACATTTTCATGGATTGACAATGTATTATACTTGCCAAAAACAAATATTTCAGTGCCACTTCGACACCCTGAAAATCGAAGAAGCTTCGACGTTCTAATTCAATTCAGAATTCCCTGAAATATTTTGTACAAATTCACAAAACTTCAATGAACGTACCTTTATAACAATCCTACAATTGTAATTAACTGTCTAAAGTACGAATAAACCAGAGTTAACCCTCCGTTCTTGGTGATTTTTGAGTGTTTGTGTAATGGTGGTCTGTTTTCGACCAATATTTAACCTCGTTTCCATAGTTGCAGACAACCGCATAAATAATACTCGCGGACTCAGATTAGTCCCGAGTATTCGACCGTGAGGCACAGGAATCCCATGAATTGAGTACCAGTTCAGAGTGAAAATGTATTTCTCAAAACAAATAGTAGAAATAGTCGAAAATTTGACAGTTAGATTATGTCGTAATGGTGTTTTTCTCTTACCAAAGTGTAAAAAACAAAGGGTTATGCATTTTGAAATATTTCCTGCGTTACAGTGAAAAAACCTCTATAACATGCTATAAACAATTCTATCAAAGAGCCCTTGAAAATGGAAAATAATTACAAAATTGAATTTTAACAAATGAAATAATTATTATAGTTGATAAACTAACTTGATTCAGAAAAAAAAAGCAACTGAAAATCATTTCATCTTCAGTCAATTTTCATTTTAGTAGAGCTTTAAAAAAATTCGCTGAAGTAACATATTGGGCGATGCCGGGAAACCAAGAACTCTAGAAATGGCAGTTTATTCGGTGACTTATTTCTGGTGTTACCAGTCGTACTATAATTGCATCAAAATAGCTCAAATGGAGTTAAAAGAACAACAACAAAATTTACTAAAAYTGTGCTATTTGAACAAGTTTACGKCAGTACAAACCTATCACTGAATGTTAATCCAGCGTTCGTTATAGATGTTTATTGATTAAAACATACTTCAATCAAATATTAATTCATTGTACTTGAAAAATGATCTAAACATCAATTTCCATCATTAAAAACAAATGTGTTGTACAAAGCTCTGGACTGTAACAGTCTGGACGGCAGGAACCATGGTTCACTGGAATTGTAGTGATCGTTTGGACATAGCTTGAAATCTTGAAATTGCCCTTCTTTTTCTGTCTTCTAGCGTTATTTTTTCACGTCAAGTTTCCTGGACGTGAATCTGTATTCCAGCTTGATSTCGTTCACATTGATTACCAATAAGTTTGGAATTGATTCTGGGAACTTTCCGCTTAAGTAAGCAGACACCGAAGCGATATTTTACTATCACAAAATGGATAAAAGCGATTTTATGTCCTTTGTGAACAAATAGGAAAGCTTTTCCTTAGAAGAATACTTTAGACTCTTGGCTTTCTTTTGTTCTTTATCATTGACCACAAACTAGAATCACTGTCCTTTCCAGGCAACGGAAACATCGCCCACTGCGCGCGTAAAAAAAATATTGATCAGACAATACTTGGTCTTCATTCCTTTAATGAAGTAATTTTTCGAAACTTCACACTAAATGTGTCACTTTTGTCACCTTGAATTCTGTGGAAAAAAATAACAACTTGTAAAACTGTCGTAATCGATTTTGTCAGTTTTGATCCACGTGTTAGTTCAGGAATGGAGTCTGATTTTGACAGATTCACTTGTGCGTTTCTTCTTAAAAAAGTAAACATTTTTACCGACTTTGTAAATAAGTGGTTACTTTAAACACAACAAACACCTTGTTTTACTTGTATCTTCTGGGTTGAAAAAAAGATTTAATTAATGTCTACTTCTAAGAGAGAATTAACTTAAACAAACTTTTCGTGTTTGAAACAAGGAAACAGTTGAAATGAAAGCTATCTGTGACCTGAATCTTATTCAAGCTTACTCCAGCTCTGATCACTTTTTWCAGTGAAAACAGAAAAAATGAGATTGAAGTTAGTAAAGATACTGCTTGAAGTACTTATATCGGGTACATTTTTTTGTACAACCGATTAAAAAGAGGTCGTAAAACGCTTATTGTGTCTGAARGTTTGTMAAAAATGYAACACATTAAAAACGTTGATAAAGGCGATCCCTTTTGTCACATTTTACCCAAATACGGCATTTTTTAATTAAAAAAAAATTCCTGAAAATATATCATATTTTCCTTCAACTAATGTAAGTTCCCTGGAAATTTTTTTTTTTTTTGAATTTTAGGAAAACGTTTTCGTTGTCAATATCAGACAGCAAATTTCGTAACTTAGATATTGATCGAGTGGTTGATACTTTCCAGGATGTTTCAGTACTTATGGATTTGTTTTGAAACGTGGAATGGGGGATAAAGCGAACAATTGTGAACCCTGTATGTTTTGATGAAAACAACAAGTGTATTGGGATTACATCACCCGTATCAGAACCAAAACATTCATATAACACCAGAAAATCTTCCTTCGTTCTCAGTGACTTAGTTCATTCGTGTCTTTGACCCCAGCAGTAGCACCCAAGCGACTGAAACCGGTGAGTGACTCGATCTTTGATCTTAATACCTCAYTGATAGCCTTGTATTGACTTTSRACTTCTSAACTAACMMATGATACAGATAATTYCAAGAGYTAATTAACTCAAATGATACTATTTGAAGGGATTTTTAACTTGGCGCTCTTGTTTTCAAACTCGCCTTTTTTTCAAATTTTGTCATCTTGTAAACAATATTGARGAAAGAATTTCGAGATTTTTTACCTTTTAAATAATTATGATTCGAAAACTTTAACCAAATGGGTTTGGACTAACTCAGTGCTAATTTCCTTGAAATATTTTCTCGTTTTTCACGGRGGATTTTGCCAGTTTTATAGGTCACAYCAAAATTTCCCAGTTAATTTGATCCATCTTTTTTATCAAAATGGGAATCATATTTCATTTAAATTATCTTTTAAAAAGAAATGTCAACTTTTTCATGTTGAATTATCAGTTTAAAGAGATAAAACCGTCACTGACGTGTCACCGCGAGCGCGCAGACGATGACGGACTTGTGGTTGCTCGTGTAAATAAATTATCACAATAATTTACAATTTAACTTACTACACCATCAAAACGTTTTATGGTAATTAAATTAAATTAAAAAATGGATTCGTGCTAATTCTACTCAAAAGAGGACTTTTCAGCCTTGTATAAGACTGGATAATTATTTAGTTGTCAGAACTGGGCCAATTGCGTGTGCAGCTATGGAAAGCTTTCTGTTCACTTTGCAACCATTTTCTCTGGCAAAATGTGCAACTTCTGGCATAATGTACAACTTCTGCCATGGAATCTGTCCAGGATAATGTATCTTTCTTAAACTAAGAATAAAACATTATTTCATAACAAATATTTCATAAAAATAGCTATTATCATTATCATTTTTTTTAAAGTAAAACCAAAGTGACGCAAAAGATTTTCAATTATACTTGTGATGATTTCTAAACTACAAAAAAGCGAAAAAAAAATAAGTCATTTTAAAGTGACACGATAGTTGGTTATATCAATTATACATAATTTCAACGATCACCCGAGTTTGTTTTTATTTTTGTCGTAAATAACCTGCGATCATAGGAAAACATTCGCATGAATCMAACAGGTTGCTCATATTTTGGTGAACATTTTCATTGTCAAGATTGAGGTGATACGGTTTTGAAAAGATGTCAGCCTCGCGAAAAACGCGCCAAAAATCTCAAATACCCTGTGTTACATCTGGAATTTTCTACAGGATCAATTCTCAAAGAAAACTCCTTATGCAATGTAGACATAAACCTAAATAAAAMAATTTTAACATAGATTGTGCCCTAGTTAATATATATTGCTTTTTTTATACATAGATACCCACCCTGTTTTATATAATAGTTACTAGTAAAATTGTTAGAAAAGACTGGACATCCAGGGGGTAACCTGCTTAGGATTAGTATCTAATCCAKGCCGGGGAKTAATACTTTTAGTCAATCGCCCTGGAAATCCTCTCCAAAGCKCGCGCTTGGATTTACATCCACGAGTAAACTAGTAGAATATGCTAATTAACAATTATTCAGATCTAATAAGTCATTGAAGTTTGTTGACTAATTCAATTAATCTTTTTTCCTTTCAGGTCTTACAAAATAATCCACAATGAGAGTTTTGATTGTACTTGCCGTCCTCTTTGCCGTTGCTTATGCAGCACCAACATCCACTCTTGGTAAGTAAGCAATCTAAGGGGGGTAGGGACAGTGTGTTTTTGGAATGGKCGGTTTCTGATTCTTAGGAMACTGTTGTTGCTAAGCTTTACTAATCAATAAAGTAGGAATTTGAYGCATCATATCAAACAATTTATCCGTGAAATATTAGTATGACTCTCTAGTTTTCCTTTGGTCGACTAGCACTATTTTTCACAGTTTATAGTACTTAGCGTTTCACGGTTATACTGTTTGCACGCGGTTGATGGCGATAATTAAATGATGAGGATGACAGTTATATGATGATATCAYTGTTGTCATGGAACTTTAAGTTCCAAATCTTAAGAAAAATATAACCGTTTACATGCAAAGTAAACTGGAATAGTTGAAAAATAATGATTAATTACATCACCAACAAATTGACTTAAATAACTCTTTCTACTACAGAAAAAGACCTTATGGATGCCCCCAATGCYAATGCCACAGAGATCCCACCCGAGAACTCTGAGCTAGAACCCGCTGAGCCTTCCAAGGAAACAGCTGATKCCCCTAAAGCCGATATGCCCAAGGAAGAGCTCCCAGCAGCTGAAGATGCACCAGCAGAGAAAGAGGCTGGATCTGCTGCCGAGCCAAAGAACGAMGAAAACGACTTCAGTGACGATGATGATGATGAGAATGACGAYGAAGTCGATGATTCTGATGCTGATGATGAAGCTGAMGAGGACGATGAGGAAGAMTCAGGCGAGAGTGGCGATGAAGATGATGAAGAGGAATCTGGAGACAGTGAAGAGTCTGGAGAGAGCGGTGATGAGGAAGAGTCTGGAGAGAGTGGCGATGAGGAAGAATCTGGAGAGAGTGGCGATGAAGATGATGAAGAAGAATCTGGAGACAGCGAAGAGTCTGGAGAGAGTGGTGATGAGGAAGAGTCTGGTGACGAGGAAGACTCCGGAGATAGCGAAGAATCTGGTGAGAGCGGCGATGAGGARGAATCTGGTGACGAAGAGGAATCTGGAGAATCTGGTGACGAGGAAGAATCCGGAGAGAGCGGTGATGAGGAGGAGTCTGGTGACGARGAAGAGTCCGGAGAGAGCGGCGATGAGGATGAAGAATAAGCAAGATACAATCATTGCGTCAAAATAAGATCTTAACTACTGAGTTTCACTCAGAGACATTTTGTACCTTTGTACATGTCCTAATTAGTCTCGTGCGTTTTTGTTCCTATTATGGGATATGTGCCGTCTAAGGCCGTTTGTTACGGTGTACATAAATATATGTCAGTGACGTGTGTCATTCTACAAATGAATATAAAATTCTAATGAATAATAGACTTTCTATTAAGTTTTATCAGTGGTGACCTATATTCAGGAGACAGCTAGATCAATAAGGCTTTCAAATTAGTTTTGAAACTTGAACGAATCTAGTGCCCTTAACCATTTCTACAAACCCTCCCACATGGAAGCTTTAGGCAATAGTCCCTGGGAAGATCCCTGCGTTAAAAGGCATTCTAATCATTTTTATCTTTTTTTTTTTTTGCACACGAAGATAGAAGGCTTTCAATATAGATACCTGATATATATTCATTGAAAAAAAGGCGCGTGATTTGCGCGCAAGCTTAAAAACGTGGCAAATTTTCAGGACGTATTTTGCTTTATTTTCACATACTTTACTTAGTACTTATCTTCACTTGCGCAAAAAAAAGTCATAGCTGTTTTTTATTTACTATCATTCGCCTGATTATAGTTTTTCATCGATCTTGCCTAATTGTCAAGAGAGTCTCAATGGGGTTGTTGAAAATTAACCGTGAGTCGTGAAAATGCGAAAAAATTAGCCGTGAAGCGTGAATATTTTTTTTTATAGCGTGAGCCGTGTTTCAGTTTTGTCCCTCAGAAGGACAGTCAACTCAAGGCGTGCGCTTGTAATTTTTTGGGGTAAATTAAAAAAATAAAAGCTTTAGTGTAGATTTTTCAAAATTTTGCCTCGCAAGAACTTTTTTTTCGGCCCTTCATCTCAGAGTGATGATAAAAAAAATATTAAAACTGAGTGTCTATACGTACAAGGGCACACTGTGCTCCCACATTCACTATCTCTAGCATGGATTCTTCTCTTTCAAATAAGCCGAAATACGACTACACTATTTCCACGAAAAAATGATTAATCATGAAATTCATACACAAGAAACATAGCAGGTATTGAGAGCATAGTCTTCCTTTTGACCAAATTCAGTTGATAATTTAAAGCTTCTTCGCCGCTCGCCATAGTATACAATGGATTTGGAACTTACATTTTTCACGTCTCTGGACAAACTCCCGGACAGAATGTCACGAAAAATTATATGTCCGGGAGTCAAAATCACTGTAAAATGTAAGTTTTGTCTAATCAAAGATACTTTACTGTATTTAGGTGTAGATAGTCTTCCGTTTGACCAAATTCAGTTGATAATTTAAAGCTTCTTCGCCGCTCGCCATAGTATACAATGGGCTTGGCACTTAGATTTTTCACGGTCTCTGGACCGGGAGTCAAAATAATTTTTAATAATTGATTATATGATTTGTACGGATTATCATTCATTCTCTTCAGTTATTAGTATTCACTATATTCAATA